GGGTATAACAGTTGCCAATTTAAAACAGTCAGGAAATATTCCGGTTTTAATTGATTCATTTATGAGATAAACAAAAGGCTGTAGAATATTGTTCTCTATATTTTTAATTAATTTAGCTGTTAAGCCGTCATAACCGCTTGAATTTTTATTTTTAAGTTGTGAAATAATGACATGCACCTCCTCCACTGCAACGTCATAAAAAACCATTGAGTTTACAAGGTTATCATTTAATGTACAGGGTAAAGAAAGATTTGACCCAAAATGGTCTCTAATTTTATTTTGTGCTACAGTAGAAAAATGACATCCAAATTCCCTGGCAACTTTATTACAGTCACTTATGATGGTATCATTAATCTTGAGAATGATTTGGTCCCTATTATTCTTTTTATTCCTATCTAAAATTTTATTGACAATGCTCCAAGTTTCTTTCATTTTGTTTGCTGAATTGTTTATTTTATTATTGTAATAGGTTTGTTTAGTTATATTTATATTTTTTCTGTAATTTTTTTTTTCATTCTCATATTTTACCTTAATTTCACCTGAATTTAGATTTACTGAGAGCCAAAATAAATTTTTTAGATATAATAGGGTGAATAAGAGGAAAAATGTTTTTATTTTACATTTTACGGAAAAAAAGGCACAGTTGATAAAAAGTTTTACTTGAATTTAAACTGAGGATGTCATGGTAAAACATTTCATGTACAGGGTGTCCAAAAAATTAAAAAATCTGAAAATGTAGAGAGTAAACTACCTTTATTTTTAATATTTCTGAAAATCTTAAGTAATTAATCTTATATTAATTTTTTACAGAACGTAATAAATTTGAATAAAAATGTATGTGCAATAAAACATCATTCGAACACTCCTCAGCCAACATTCACACAGGCATGCAAGGACTTCATTGTAGCTACATCTAACTCTTCTAAAGATATGGACTGTACAACATCTCTAATTCGTTGTTTAGCTGCTCGATATTATTGTCCAAAGGCCAGGTAGCTGTTTTCATTGCATGTATCTTCAAAGAAGTATGGTCCTATTATTCCATAAAAGGATACCACACCAAACATTCACTTTTTGGAAATATTGCCGCCTAGATGGTATTCTAAAATGAGGACTCTCGGTACTTCAATATCGCAANTTTCTGTAATTTTTTTTTTCATTCTCATATTTTACCTTAATTTCACGTGAATTTAGATTTACTGAGAGCCAAAATAAATTTTTTAGATATAATAGGGTGAATAAGAGGAAAAATGTTTTTATTTTACATTTTACGGAAAAAAAGGCACAGTTGATAAAAAGTTTTACTTGAATTTAAACTGAGGATGTCATGGTAAAACATTTCATGTACAGGGTGTCCAAAAAATTAAAAAATCTGAAAATGTAACGAGAGTAAACTACCTTTATTTTTAATATTTCTGAAAATCGATATTTTGCAAGTCGTGCAAAAAAGTTACTCGAGTTTTTAAATAAAACAATTCGCACACAAAATTGGTTTAATTTTTTACAGAACGTAATAAATTTGGATAAAAATGTATGTGTAATAAAACATTATTCGAACACTCCTCAGCCAACATTCACACAGGCATGCAAGGAATTCATTGTAGCTACATCTAACTCTTCTAAAGATATGGACCGTACAACATCTCTAATTCGTTGTTTAGCTGCTCGATATTATTGTCCAAAGGCCAGGTAGCTGTTTCCATTGCATGTATTTTCAAAGAAGTATGGTCCTATTATTCCATAAAAGGATACCACACCAAACATTCACTTTTTGGAAATATTGCCGCCTAGATGGTATTCTAAAATGAGGACTCTCGGTACTTCAATATCGCAAACGTTGTGAAGTAACAATGCAATTTGGAGAAAAAGTGGATTCGTCCGAAAACATAATTTGTTGATGGAAATTTTCGTTCCACACCTTCAATCCACAGACAAAAATCGAGACGTTTTGCTTCGTCGCCTTTCTCTAAAGTGTGGTTGTGAATTGGTTTGTATGCAAGAATTTAATTTTGTTTCAATTTTTTGTATGTGGGTCTTTTTCACAATTCCTAAGTATTCTGATCGTCTCCTCAATGACATGTTTCATTCATTGACTGTAGAACTAGCACAGTAGCATCCCATCATCATAGTTTTTACTGTGCCTAGGTGTTTTTACTAGTGACCCGATTCTCAAAAATTTTTGAACTATTTTATGTAAAGACGATTGTGCCACATGCACACCTGGGTATTTTTCATTGAAATCTTGAATTACTGGGCGATAACTGTAATCACCCTTACCGTGCACTGTATTAGATATATTTTTTGCTGTACAGTTAGCATTTATGTGATAATTAATTACTGTTGGGAGTTTTTAACGAAGTGCAGTGACACAAGTGAAGAATAAAATGTCATTTTATTCACAACCTTCTATTCGAAATAAAAGGTTTTCCTCTTATTCACCCTAACCGTGGACATAAATATTTGTAAATAATCAAAGTAGGCCAATTACATGACATTTTCAGATTTTTTTATTTTCTGGGCACCCCGTACATGAAATGTTAAGTTTCACCATGGCAACCTCATTTTAAATTCAAGCAAAACTTTTTATCAAGTGTGCTTTTTTTCCGTAAAATGTAAAATAAAAACGTTTTTCCTTTTATTATCCCTAACCGAGGACATACTGACCTACATTAATTTTTGTTGGGATTAATGTCAAGATTTAAACACAAAGAGATAAATATTCAATGTTTTGATCAAGAGCGAAAAGTATGTATGTCAATGTTTGATTGTTTGCCCATTGAAAGAAATACAGGGTTAACTTTGAATGGGGGTTACATTTATATGGAAACTACCTTTGACCTTTGGAAACACGTATCAATAGTTTATTTTTTCAAATTCTGTCATGAAAACAATTTTTTTTTAACCTTTTGGTAATTTTCATACCCCGCTTCTGGATATAACCTAGTATGACCTCAAATGACGGCACATGTTAGTACCAACGCATCCACAATTGGGAACTGGACTATGCATTGTTATCAAACATAATTTAAATAAAAATGTATAAAAAACAGATATTCACACTACCCGCCGTGAGGTACTGCTCTTTAGCATTGTGTGGGTGTTCGCCAGGAGTCCTACCATCCGCCCACATATGCAAAAATTTAATTGTTTTAAATAAGATATTCTATGAAGCAGTACTTAGTAAGTAATATAACAGAAAACGCAAGCAATAAACAATTACTTAAAGAAATAAATTAAGTTTCATTTACAATTAGTAACATATCTACATACCAATCATTATTGGTTAGTTTGTCCACATTGACAAAAAATATACGGAACTTTAAAATAACACGGCATTGTCATAGAGAATCAATCTATTTCACTAAATTATTTTTCATTATAAAAAAATATATTTACAATTACTAGTAACATATTAATATTTAATAAACCATGTAAACATTTTTTACTCTTTTTAGAAACAATAGAACGTTTTTTTAGTGTTTGGTGCTTCCAGGTCAGTGGTATAAAAAAAATATGGTGACTTTAAAATAACATGACGCTAAGTTATAAAAAAGCAATCTGTTTTACTAAATTATTTTCCATTGTAACTTCACATAATGTAGGTTGATTTAAAAACAACTGGCAATACTGATAGCGTAAGAATACAACTTAATAAGCTGGATGGTCTGGTTTACAGATATTAATTATAATTAAAGATGAATAGTCACCAAAGCAACATATAGCAACTTTTTTGATTTTGTATGTTGCTGTCAGTTCCAAAATGTAGAAACGAGAAGCAACATACATAAACATTTCGTCTCCACCAAGGCAACAAAAAAAAGCAAAAATGTTTTAGTTGGCCGCTGTTGACCGAGTAAATGAAACAAAGTGTATCCACCAGGAAATCAAGGTTCCTCTCGTACTGCAATTCGAACTTAACTATTTTTTTCCTGTCATCTGAAGAAGAAAATATTGCGCCAGCAGCAGCTAACTTCCATACTTTTTCTTTCCCTAAAAAACTGGCTAACCAAATTTTTTCTTTTTCTTTTGACTTTCACTTCATTAGCTCAAGTAATTTAGAAGAACTTAGACCATGCATCGTGCTTTGTATTACTTTTATATTTGTGATCTTTTGGGTTTCAAAGTCAAATGTCGGTATGTTTCAATTAAAATAATAATATTAATAAACAACTTAAATACCGCGATAATAAAAGACAAATAAAATTTTATATTTTAATAATGAAAACGCAAGCAATAAACAATTACTTAAAGAAATAAATTAAGTTTCATTTACAATTAGTAACATATCTACATACCAATTATTATTGGTTAGTTTGTCCACATTGACAAAAAATATACGGAACTTTAAAATAACACGGCATTGTCATAGAGAATCAATCTATTTCACTAAATTATTTTTCATTATAAAAAATATATTTACAATTACTAGTAACATATTAATATTTAATAAACCATGTAAACATTTTTTACTCTTTTTAGAAACAATAGAACGTTTTTTTAGTGTTTGGTGCTTCCAGGTCAGTGGTATAAAAAAAATATGGTGACTTTAAAATAACATGACGCTAAGTTATAAAAAAGCAATCTGTTTTACTAAATTATTTTCCATTGTAACTTCACATAATGTAGGTTGATTTAAAAACAACTGGCAATACTGATAGCGTAAGAATACAACTTAATAAGCTGGATGGTCTGGTTTACAGATATTAATTATAATTAAAGATGAATAGTCACCAAAGCAACATATAGCAACTTTTTTGTTTCTGTATGTTGCTGTCAGTTCCAAAATGTAGAAACGAGAAGCAACATACATAAACATTTCGTCTCCACCAAGGCAACAAAAAAAGCAAAAATGTTTTAGTTGGCCGCTGTTGACCGAGTAAATGAAACAAAGTGTATCCACCAGGAAATCAAGGTTCCTCTCGTACTGCAATTCGAACTTAACTATTTTTTTCCTGTCATCTGAAGAAGAAAATATTGCGCCAGCAGCAGCTAACTTCCATACTTTTTCTTTCCCTAAAAAACTGGCTAACCAAATTTTTTCTTTTTCTTTTGACTTTCACTTCATTAGCTCAAGTAATTTAGAAGAACTTAGACCATGCATCGTGCTTTGTATTACTACTTTTATATTTGTGATCTTTTGGGTTTCAAAGTCACTCTAAATGTCGGTATGTTTCAATTAAAATAATAATATTAATAAACAACTTAAATACCGCGATAATAAAAGACAAATAAAATTTTATATTTTAATAATGAAAATTTATATAATTTTGTTCTTTATAAAAAACAATAATTATTGTCCAGAATTATTCTAAGATTTAGGGGCAGGTAAAATTGGAGGGTTTGGCTAAAATTTTGCTCCCTTCTATTTCATGTGCGATTTTTTCACTTGTTGCCTAATAATGAAAAATATTATTTAATTTTATGCCATTTATCTAAATGGCTACCAAAAATTTAAATCATTTGTATCCTAAAATGGGCAAAATAAATAAAAAAATAAGAGATGATTTATGGTAAAAAAAATATTTGTTTAGTTTTTAAGTCTTAAGTCAAAGTCACATCAAGAAAAATGGTGAAAAAATTTTACTTAAGCTTCACATTCTTATAAAGGATATACCTACATATATTGAAATACCAGTGTAAATTTGCATTTACCTACTTTTAAGCATTTTCAAAATATTTTAATAATCAGCTTAAGGAATTTCAAACTTAAAACCCTCTATATCGGAAAAAATTGACCAATTTACCAATCTGATTAGCGTTACGCTAAAAAGAGCCAAAAGATGGCTTGTGAATAGGGTTACCAGATTTATTTCAAGACAGACCCCCCGGAGATATGACTCCTTTGTATAATTGATGCCTAAAAAAAAAAAAAAAAATTAAGTCTGGGAAACAAATTGTTGGCTTCGAAGAAATCGATACTTGTGAATCACAACACCTTCTATCAGAATTTTTGGAATAATTGGAATTTTCACATATCTGAGTTGCAATCATTTGACAGACACCTTTTAACATGTTGTAGCCCACCTCAACAAAGCAAAGTAACTGCTTTCAAAAAGGTTATTTTTAAAAAATACATATGTGGAATATTTTACATTAAATTGTAGGTTTAAGGGTGGGGATCAGAATGTAATACTGAAGGCGAAAATATTCGTATTATCTATGAAAGGTCCTTATAAAAAATTGGGATGATAATAGAAAACAAGTTTTAATTCGGGTATATATCCATCATAACCAGAGGTTGACTTAATAATTTAATGACATCCAACTGCATTTTAAAAAATCCCAAATTCAAGAAATTACCTAGTACCTGCTATTTCTGACATTTCTAGATCTATGAAATTTACTAATAATTTCTGGTCTTTTCGGTTTTCCAGATTGTTATACACTCTCAGCCCTGATACCTGCTTGGACAATGCCCATCATATATGTCTAAAAATTTGTATGTAAATACTAAATGGAAAATAAAAACGCAAACTGTCTTAGCTTAGGTGGACTATGTCATGTTTGTCTCAATGTGCCCCATACCTTATTCTTTTCTAAGAGTTATGCTAAAATGTTTACAAAATTAAACTTACAAAAACATTTGTAATAGATACTACTCAACTTTTCGGCAATTCACAGTTGAAAGTTTTATTAAAAGTAGAATATAATTGTTGCAGATTTTTATGAGATATATCAGTCTGCTTTTTTATTATAGCTGAAACATCATTTTTCAAGAGTTCCTCGTTCTTACACACTTCACAGCCACCCCTACTCGTTTTTTGCAACAAAGGGTACTCAACAATCTCCAAACAATTCTTCTTCGAATGGGCTCTAAAATTAATGTTTAAATGAATTTAGATTCAGTTTCATAGTCAAAAACTTACGCTAGAAGGCCTTTATACTTTCCCAGTGCATAACCATTTTTAAATCCTTCCTTAAAGCCAATATCAAAATATTCTTGAAAACTGCTTTCTCTTCCATCAGCTATACCATCTCGTAAACCAGACTAAAATTTGTATAAACAAATATATACATATCTAAATATATACATTCTCTAGTGTCACAATCATTTAAAAAATATATTACTTACCTTTTTTGATGTAGTCTCAACTTTATTCCAAGTTTGTCCAATTTCTGAAAGATCTTCGAAATTTTCGGCTTTTTCTGGTTCCATGTT